CTTTGTTCTTTGTTCTCTGTTCTCTAACCTCAGTCACTCTTTTAACCACGTCCTCAACAACTTCATCGTCGTGATCTTTAGCCGGTGACCTGCCAGGCTTCAACTACTCGCTTCTCTTCTACCATCAGTTACTTCTACCTAATATTTCCATATTATTCATAATGGGTTAGTGCCATTGCCTATTTAATCTGAACTGATGAGAAGAAGGTTAGCTAACGTAGAATGCAGCGCCGGCTTTCATTGCTAAGCTGAAGACCAAGCTCAAGTCTATCTTCAAGAAGAAGAAGACCGACCAAGAAAACCCCGAAGCCACTCCTGCTGCTGATGTTGCTGCTGCGGAGCCCCAGGCTGGTGCGTAAAGAGATTATGAATGACTTATGGGAGCGCTGATGGCTAATGATACCAGATGTCCCCGCTGAGACTCCCGCTGAGGGCGCGAAGCCGGAGCCTACTGAGCCTGTGACATCCTCAACTGCTCCGGTTCTAGAACTGAACACGGGCGCACCCGCAGAAACCGTGGCGGAGGACCACGCCGCGGAGAAGAAGGCCGAGGCTGCTGCTGAAGCTGCTGCTGACAAGCCTGCCGAGACTGTTGGACAAGCAAAGGGTAAGCCAGCCATAACCCGACAACGAGGCCTTGACTAACAGCCTGCGTCTAGCCGAAGAGTCCAAGTGACCGAACTCATGGCGATGAGCGATGCGTCGTGATCTCCACGCATCTTCCATTCTTTTACCCTTGAATTCCTTAATACCTTGCATCTCATACCCAGCATTGACTGCTACCGATTTTCCTTGTGCTCTGTGGCCGATACCATCTTCTCAAAATACCCTATCTTGTTTCTGTTAGCTTGGCATCCTTCCATACCGTTTTAATCGTCTGAACCGAACTCAAAATAGACCGACATGTGCCGATTTAGTCAGTCGCAGTAGAGGTGTAAAATCCGTAGAAGAAGATAATTGTTGGAACATGATATCGGCACGGGTATCATAGGCTAAGAATGAATGGGAGACATAATACACTTTCGAAAGGCCTCAGTCACTTCCTCCATCCGAGGAAGCACCGTCCTCCACCCCAGCAGGCTGTGCAGCTTGACCTTCGGCGGTGCCAGCGGCAGCGGCGGCAGCTGCTGCAGCGGCCTTTTGTTCTCTGGCCTTTTGTCTCCGCTTGAGCTTCTGCTCGCGATTCTTGCGGTTGCGTTTCTCCGCTTTACGTTTCTCTTCCTCCTCCTGCCGCTTCTTCGCTTCATCCTTGGCCGAACGGCGTTTCCGCAGCTGAATGCGCCGCTTCTTTCCGGGCTTTTTGCTCGAAACCGGGACCCTCTCGGGCGGATCGACCACACAAGTCGTCGGCTGGCTGTCGATATCACCTGCACTCTTTGATCCCTTCGCCGTCTTATCACCCTTCAGATGAACCACTTTCCAGGGAAGATAACAACCAGGCTTCGAGAAGCACAGTTAGCAAGCGTGGTCCCCACGCCACAGCGCTCAAGAGAAAAGAGGTTGGATACTTACCCACGGCACCTGAGCGAACCCCAGCATCTGCAGCCCAGATACTGCCACCTCCTCAAATTGCTGCCTCTTAGCTCTGAGGATCTCCTCCTCCTGGCTGTCCGCCTTTCCCCCCGTCATCGACCCCGGCGCGGTGAAGAAGTGCCCATATCCACGGAAGGGGTTCACCAAGCGACCATCCTCAAGACCTCCAGCCCCAGGAGATGGAGACCGGACCCGGATTCGTAGTTTCTGCGCCACCCCCGCCGCAGCGGCGGGGTCCGTCACCTTGTTCTCGTTTGCGTCCTTGCCGTCCGACGTCGCACCAGCCAAGGGTTTCGTGGCTGTCGCCGGGGCAGGAGCACTGAACAACCGGAATTCGAATTCTTGCTCCTCTTCATCCGCGTTGTGCTCGTTGTCCTGTGGTTGGGTGGATTCAGGGGCGGCGTATGCGGGTGCGATCAGGGCGTCGAGATCGAGCAATGCCCCAAGGCGCTGCTGGACATCTGGAAGCGCGGATTCCGCGGGCGGCGATGCGGGAGGAGATTCTGAGTCTCTGGAGAGTAGCTCATCGCGTCGAACGCTAATACGGGAGCTCTGTTAGTGGGATTGTGGATGGGAGGGCACTGAAGAACCGCAAGTCGTGACATCGGCATACCGTTTTGCCATGGGCAGGTCAAACATGGTGTCGGTTTCGGGAAGTGGTCACCAGTCGGATAAGAGAAATAAGCAAGCCAATGCTTTCTTTAGAAGGAGAATCGATCGCGTTATAGATCTGTTTGTTTATCTGCGCTGCGGGCTGGTGGTGACGGTGACTCGTTGCCGGTTGCCTGGTGGGCGGGTTGGCGGTGGAAATGAAAATTGTCGGTCGTCGGCCGCGGACAGCTTTATTTCCACCAGTGGTTTTCTGGTGCGGCCACGGCCCCGGAGCATTGGCTGTATGCATCGCGCTTGTTCAATTGATTGTTGATTTCAGGAATTGATTGGACTGGAGCTCTGCCTCCAATCTTGTGTTGGCTATTAGAGTACCTTGGTTTGCATCAATTACTACTGGTACAGTTACATCTACATCCCTCTACCTACCTAGCACTCTTATTTTGAGGAGGGAGTATTCACTGTGCTGCTACTGTGTACCTAGTAACTTACTGTATAGTGGCTGGATGGAGCGCTAGCGCCACGCACGGGCCACATGTGTCGGACGGATTAGGCATAGAAGGAAGAGCGCCAGCCCGTGGCATTCATGAGGTTCCCGGATAACTTGCTCCACCCACGGACGCCTCACTATCTCGACTTGTACAACCACCACACCACCAGCTTCATCCACCACCACCACCACCACCCACACACAACCCCTCCTTCACCTTCAGTATCACCGCCTGGTGCGCTCCTGTACATTGCACTCCGCCAACCAACCTTCTTTTGAATTGAGACCGTCTCTCGTTTTCCAGCTCGCTTTATCGCCCAGTTTCAATCCGTGTTATCTCACATCCCCAGCCAACGTCACACCACATCCAGAAACAAGATACTTTCCTCTCGCCTTGACTAGAATACATCATCACCATAGCCAACCAACCATAAACAATCACAATGGGTATTTGCGCCTCATGTCTGGGGCGTAGTCCCCCAGAAAGCCAAGATGTACGTTTCCCATACCCCCCCCCCCCCCACTCCATGTCTTCTCCTTAGCCAGACATTGCGCCGAAAGCTCGCCGCGCAAACCCTTCTTCTTTTCAAAACAACATAAACCCCCGCTAACTCAAACTGCAACACTCATAGGGCGAATCCTCCCGCCTCCTCGAAGAAGACATTTACAACCAACCCGGCTACGGCTACGGATCCCTCAACAACGCCAGCCCCGGCAATCACCCGGATCCGGGCTACCTGAAGCGCGAACGAGAAGCATTAGAAGCCATCTGCCAAAGAGCCTCGGAGTAAGCGCAACCCACAGCTTTCCCTACTACATTTGTATTGGTGCAAGCGAGCGAGCGAGCGAGCGAATCTGAATGACTTACTGGAAATCTACAGCTCCGTCATCGACATCTGGTCGATCCAACCCCAGCCCCATCTTCAACCGCATGCGACCCTCCCCAGTACCGTTGTCGCCCCCTCCACCTCGACCTCCGAAGCCCCTCCGCCCGTCAAGGTCACGAAAACGGACACGACCCCCCCGCGCGCGCCGCGCCGATCCGCCGCATCGCCGAAACCCGGCGGGACGGTCCCGAAGCATTGGGGGGAGGTGGTGATCAACACGCGCAAGAACCGGTCGCGACCCGGTTCGAGCACGGATGAGGACGCGTCGAGGGATGTCTTTGGGGTGTTGAAAGTGACCTAAACCTCGGAGAAAAGAATTGATCAAAAGTAAACCCAAACTGGGGCGGGGAAAGGCAGGGGAGGAGGAGCAGAAGCGCACGGACGTGTTTCTGAGCTGAAGAGCAGTAACAGCGAACGAGCAACACTGCGCCAGCTCTTTGCGAGCTGTTGCTGAAAACGACATAAGCAGCTTGACTCCAAAACGAGGGTCGCCAAAGACACTTTTCCTCATCGGTCGATAATACCCCCTCTCTCTCTCTGCCTTCCTCATACGCATCCTCAAACTCATCTTGCATTTTTCATGGGTCGCCGGACGACGACGGGCGTTTTATTGTCAATCTTTCTGATCTTCCGTTCTCTTGCCCCCCTTCTTTGGAGCCTTCATATCTAACTTTCTTCTTCTTTGCCGTCATCTTCTGATGGTAGATTCCCATGTTGGTCATCTTTCCTTTCCCCCCCTTTCATAATACCCTGGCTTAGCCTGTGTCCTTCCTCTTCATTTCATTCCTCTCTTTAAATGTCGGATTTCTTTTTTTCTGTTCTGTGGTTGTCATCTTCCTCTCGACTTTGGTCTCTCTGTGGTGTGATGGACGCATGAGCTGTTTTTCCTGCCCGGTTTCTATGTAGCAAGATTGTTGCCCCGGCTACTTCGGCCTGAGGCGCGCACTCCGATACCATCTCAATTGAGATCTATGACATAGATAGTTGTTGTTTGTGCCACTGTGCAATAGACTGTACCAATAGGCATGACAATCTTGGTTTTTATTATACAAATCCATGAGGTTTGGAACTTTCTGTATTATCTCGAGAGAACACGGAGTGTAGGGAAGGATAGAGACAGATGGGCCGTCACTGGTAGGTAGGTGGGTAATAGTATACCTAAGCTGAGCGCCTTCACAAACCAGCTCCAACCCATCCTACAGCGTTCCCAACAACATCCTCATGACGAGGAACAAAGAAATTTCAATTGCACCAGTGGACTTCAGCAGAAAGGGAAAACAAAAAAGAGAAACTCCGCCATGGAACGCCTTCCAGCCTGACACCGGCATGATCTCACTTGATAAGATAATAAAAATAAATCGCAAATCGCGAGAGGGCAAGGAGAAGATAAGAGGCGGAGAAGTAAAAGGATGAGACAATGCCAATGCGATATAGATGGGAGTATAATGTCCAAATCAGGAGCAGAGAAAGTTCGGGGAAAAAAAAAAGGTGACTGAAATCAGTCTAGATGCAAGGGCATGGTTGCGAAGGAGGAAAGCGGACGATTGGTACAGTACCTCTAGACATCATCCATCGTACCGGCCGGCTCCTCGCCACCGGATTCATAGCTTCCGGCCGAGCTCAGCTCGTCTTCCGACTCGGTGTCTTCGCCGGCGTCGTCGACGGCGTCTTTGCTGGCGTACTTGGCGACATACTCTGTTGAATACGGGTTAGTATGTTTGCGAGTCTGACTGGGGATGGAGGAATATATCCCCTTACCTTTCACTTTAGCGTCGTAGGTCTTGGGCTCGCGCATGAGCATGGCTGCTGCTTCGCCGTTGAGAGGGTCGGACGGGTTGGGGTAGCGGAGGAGCTGAGGGAGGAAGACCTCGAAGATGTTGATCATGTCGTACATGGGGGACCAGGTCTGGTTGATGACGTCGAGGCAGACGGAGCCGGAGCTGAGTGGGGAGAAACCAAAGGTGAGTTGGGGCAGGTTATGGGGAAAATCGGACGGTTGGCAAATAACGGTACATACAGCTCATCGATGTTCGGGTGAAAGATCCGGTTGACAAACCCGATGCTGGGGCTCTTGTATGGGTATTGATCGGGGAGTTCGACGTGAATCTTCCAGTGGCCACCAGCGAACGGAGCTTGAACTTGGTTAACAAACTCGACTTGGATTGAACCGTGGAATGCGAGACCACTCACTCTCCTCAGGGCCCTTGAAGCGGACGTAGAATTCTTGCCTGGTGGTAGATTAATAAGTCACGAATCTCGACTGCGAACCCGTGGGCAATGAGACGTACACTAAATCGATTGTTAGCAAATGCAAGGCAGCATGGTCCAGAAGGGCAGCAGCGTACTGTTATCATTGACCAGAGTCACCTCATAGTCACTCATCAACCTATTTGTCCATCAGCATGATGCCTATGTATTCCATCCCGCTCGAATGTCTTCGCGAATCCCATCTCCATCGGCGTAGTAGGTACAAGGGACGGCGTAAACCGGGGCGCATACATCCTGTGGCCCATTAGTTAGCTATCATGCGATCGCGAGGCACTTATGGCGTAGCATACTTCATAACCTGTCAAAGAACACCACGGTCAGCATTTCCGCCACTCTCGTGACAGGTACGGAAGGAGGATACTCACATCGGTCTCGATTCTCCGCTTAGGGCTGCTCATGTTGACGGATTGGGGGATTTGAAAATCTCGTGGGTAATCGTTTCAGGATGGGGGGGAACGAAACCGGGTCTCAGTAAAATCAAGCGACGAAAAATGTCGGTGTTGGAGGTTGAGGTCTTCCCCAGGTCGAAGCGGGGAAGCAATGAGCGGGGCGAATCTGGGTAGCGATAGGGCAGATGTAAAGGGCCAAGGCGCTGAATTATTGAATCTGGTTGCAGAGAACGCGAATAGCGAGTTAGAGGTAGAGGGAGCTGAATTGTGCAGAGAGTCAAGGAGGTTGAGAAAGAAAGAGAGTATGAGAGAATAAAAGAAGAGGAAGCGGGAGGAGAAAGGGAAGTAGAAGTAGAAGTAGAAGTAGAAGTAGAAGTAGTACAAGAGGAGGGAGCGAAAGATGGATGGAGATGAGGTGACGGAACCGTAGTCTAGTTTTGACGGGTCAGGCCCGGCAGTCACTCAGTCACTGTTAGGAGGCGGTCAGGCGCGGGGTTCCCTTTCCCAGTTCCATGGAATCATTGTACTGCACTCCGTACTCCGTACTCCGTACATCTACGCCATGCTACACTAGAACAATTACAATTACAATTCCTCATTTTTCAGCCCGCCAGCTTGTCTACTGCACATCCTGGCATCTGCACAGTGGCCCAAGGCCTAACCCTTCCCAATCCACATAAACCCAACTTTAAGCCGGCAATCCTGCTTATCATTGGCCCAAGATCAGGAGCATACGGATGGGTTTCGGCCTTAGGTGTCAACTGGGCTCGCTGTCATCTGCTCTGCCTCGACAAACGCAATCTATTAAGGTAAGTTATGCAAATAATTGAACTAGATATCAATATCACCACCACCACCACCACCACCACCACCACCACCCGTCATCATATACTCCTCTTCTAGGGAAGCCTATCGCCACACCTTGGAGTGCTATCTCGCAGGACACAGAGGGGGATATTTTCTCAATCCACCTCCACGAAATCAACATGGACTCCCCCTCCCCCCACGGCCCCTCCGCCCGCAACTCCCCCAACCCCGATCAAACCAGCCTCCCTCACAGACCAGCCAAGCGCACGCAATCATCTGACTCCTCCGCATCCACTGCGCAACATACCCCCATCCCCGACGACAAGCATGGCGCCGATCTACCGATGAACCTATCCGCCTCCGTGGTGTTGACCGGTCTGCCCCGTGATGCGCATCAAGCATTGGCGGATGCCGAAGCCGTAGACAAGGGCAAAGGCAAGTACAGTGCTCGTCGTATTTGCCCATCTAGCAAGCATCACGCCTCAGCTTCCCCAACCCCCCAATCCGTGAAATCTACTTTGCAATGATCAGCGGTCACCGATCCGATCGATCGGTTCCACAAGCCAAATCGCCCATCGCCCACCTTTTGCCTTCCGTAGAACTTATCGCACTAACTAATCAACCATCCCGCAGTCACGGTGCGATTTCAACCTCTCCCCTCGGCCCCGATTCTCAAAACCCGGGTCTTCAAGGTCAGCGCTTCGCAGAAGTTCGAGACCGTCGTCAACTTCCTCCGAAAGCGGCTGGACTGCAAGGAAACCGACTCGGTCTTCTGCTATGTCAATAGCGTCTTTGCGCCGGGGTTGGATGAAGGGATTGGGGGGCTATGGCGGGTAAGTTCTTCCGGGGGTGTCGCGATGATACGGCCCTTGAACTCTTATCGTTTCGTCTCTAGTGTTTCAAGACGGACGAGCAGCTCATCGTTGCGTATTCCATGACTCCGGCTTTTGGATGACAGACATATCCGGAGTCTAGGTTGATGTTGAAGGAGTGAAGGAGTACGTACTGCATGTCTATCTTACATGTTTGCCCGCTGAACAACACGACTAACAGCACGTCAACTGACCTTAAAGGCACGATAATCTTGACGATATTATGAACAGAATTTCCTATGGGAAGATGATGATGGGAACATGGAAATGAAAAAGGTATCTATACAAAAGTAGACTTGCGCGCATCAACAAACGACAGGGAATCCCACCGGGGTATGTAAGGGAATAGAACCGCGCCAATGAATCCCATTGATCAACGTTTCTGGTTGTCCGGACCCTCTTCGACGATCCTCTCGAACTCGGCCAGCTCCTCCTTCGGGATGGCATAGGTGTACTCCTCCGACGGATACGCGCGGCTCTTGACCTCGTCGCGATACTGCTCGATGCCCTTGATGGCCTCGGCCCAGACATCGGCGTACTTCTTGACGAACTTGGGGAGGAAGCGGCCCGGCGGGAAGTTGCCGGTCATGTCGATCTGCACCAGCACCTGGCCGGAGCAGCCATTGCCGGCGCCGATGCCGATGGTGGGCACGCGCAGCTTCCGAGTGACGATGGCGGCGATCTCCGCGGGCACCGCCTCGACGACCATCATGAACGCGCCGGCCTCCTGCACCGCCCGCGCGTCGCGCAGCAGCCGCAGCGCGCCCGCCGTCGACTTGCCCTGCACGCGGAACCCGCCCAGCGAATGCTGCCGCTGCGGCGTGAGCCCGACGTGCCCGACCACGGGGATCCCCGCCTGGGTGATGCGCCGGATCGTCGGCGCCATCTCCTCCCCACCTTCGATCTTGACCCCCTGCACCCGCCCTTCCTTGACGATGCGGATCGCCGACTGCAACGCCTGCTCCGGGGAGACCTCATACGACCCCATCGGCAAATCGGCCACCTAACCCAGACACAGAGAAATTAGCTCACAGATCACAAATCCGACTTCTCTCCTTTCCCGGCATCCTCCCTCATATCCTTAGACAAAAGTAAGGGTGTAAAAAACATACCGTAAAAGCCCCCTTCACCGCCCGCGCCACACTCCGACAATGCAGCAGCATCTCCTCCATGACGATCTCGCTCGTGTCCTCCATCCCCAGCGCCACCATCGCCAGACTGTCCCCGACCAGCACCACGTCCATCCCCGCCGCCTCGGCCACGTGGCCCGACGGGAAGTCATGCGCCGTCAGCATCGTGATCGGCTCCCCGCGCTTGTACATGCCCCGCAGCGTCTGCAGGGTCACCTTCTTCCGGGCCGGGGCCGCGCTCGCCGCGCCCAGCGGGGAGTGCGAGCTGTGTCGGATTTGGTTCCGTGGTAACCCATGTTGCGAGGAGAGGTGGGTTTGCGTGAGGGTCGCGGCGCGGGCGAGGACGGGGAGGGGGAAGGGGAGTGTTGGTGTAGCCGTCGTAATGGGGCGGGAGAGAGAGCCGCAGACAGAAGAGGGGATTGACCGGCGGAGGGGGAGGAGGAGAGCCGAGGGTGTTCTTGACGAAGCCATTGCTTCTGTTTGATGTTGTACAACCGAGCAAGGAAAAAAGAGTTGGAGTTGAGGGGAGTTGGTAGTAGGGAGTGAGAAGAGTACGAGAGCTCGGTGGATTTTCCCCGCAGCACCAATCCACCAGTCCAGAAAAGACCAGGGTATTTCAACAGTAATCAGTCAGATGAGAGAGGCGAATCTGACACCCAAAAAGAATAACAAAGACCCGAATGCGGCAAACGGAGTCGGATTGAAGTAGTGGAAAAGTACTGTGTAAGGCGAGTGCAGTGTGCTGTGACGTCGTCGCAAATGATCTCTTTTTTTTTTTTTTTTGCCTTCCGGCGGGCCAAATTGTTGATGGTACTTACTTCCTTCCGTACAGATAGATCAACGGAGCTTGAACGGCAAAGCTACCCCAGGTACCTCTCCCCCCAAAAAAAATGGAAAAAAAAAATTGAGTTTGTAGGTAGCTAAGGAGATTATACAAAGTATGATCATAAACAATTATTCCCGCAGACTGCCCGGTATTTCTCAGACTTTATACCACCGACCCTATGTAAGCTGTGCTGGTATATGCAGCGTAGTCCCGAGCATCAGGGAGGGAATGATTCCGAGGTCCCGAGGCGTAACAACAGGACTGTACAGTGTACACCGCTTGGCTAGGTAGTTTCGATATACTACACAAGCTACAGCGTAAACCTCAGACTCGGTCGCAGATGGACTGATATCTACGGCGTAGATGGTTGATTGTTGAGAAAGTGAACTGGGGTCGCGTGCTGGTATATGCGGCGTAGTTGATGTACTCCTCCAACTTTCAGCTCCAAGTTCCTTTTGTCCGATTCTGCCGGTCTTAATGTGCCGTGTCGGGGCGCTCGGTGGGTTGCCACTCAGAGTTATTGGTCGAAGAGGGGGGCGGTGGCTTCTCCGCCGGGGGTTTGGCTTGTTCCGGTGCCGATGAGGGGTGAAGCAAATGGGCCGAGGCATTTTGGGAAGGTCCGCGGTGGTATGACCTGACAGCCTGGAGGACCAGGACTGCCTCAACGGTTGGGAGTTGACAGTGTCAGTCATCCTATCTTGGCAGTGGACAGTAGAAGAACACTAAGTTACAGGCTATATGATACCACTACAGTCCTTAATACGTGTTAAATTCCGAGTAATTCATCAAGCATTCCATTCCTATGTAAATTGTGGATAAGAGCTGCTAACCAGCTTACTAACCCTACTTACTATAATAGAAAACGTACCAAGCTACCTAGGTAGCCAGTCAGACCTAGGTCCAGTCCATCCCTCAGAGACCAAGCAATAGCCACAGCAGAAGGGAACGGACAGCAAGAAAGAGATAGATACAGACAACCACCGAACGTAAATGCAAAGCATCAAGCATCAACACCAATCCTGGAATGCAGCCCCTTGTATGCAACCCCCATGAAACACATCAACCCATGATTGAACCGAGAATAAAAAACACAAGTAGAAGAGTAGGCGACCGCAGGCAAATGGAAAGGGGGGAGAAGAGGACGAAACAGGCGACGTTGTCAATCACATTGCACTCGGTTGCCATCGCGAATCTTATCACTGAGGTCGGACAGCTCGCCTCCTGCAGCTGAAGCGTGACCGCATGCATGATTGCAAGACAACGCCCTGCAGCCCGCACAGCCTCGTGCCCGATCCCCTGCTTTCCTGACTTCGGCTGCCACGTGGGCCTTTTCCAAGAGAAGAACTTCCGCCGCTGTCAGGGGCCGTTTCATGCACATGCGCGTACCTCATAGGTCAAGGACGGACAGCACGAAATACTGCCAAAACCCAAAGACGCCAGGTGTCAATGAACATGCTGGCTGGGGATGTGAATAGCAATAAACATAATAAGAATAATAAGAAGGAAGAAGGACGGGCAGCTCTGAAGAATATAGACAACGTTAATGCATCATCAGCTGACGATGAGGGGACCTGCTCGGAACCGCATGCAGAGGTGTATGTGTGTCATTCGACGAAAGAAAAAGGTGCTAAGGCCCATCGTATATTATCCCTTGCTGAGTATTGGGGAAAGCAACACGGCGACTCATGTGATGATTCGAGAAATGCGATATATTGTACATATCATATATCCACCTTTTTTACTGTATTCTCGTGCCAGACCATTACAAAGCAAGCTTAGGCTTGAGGGGTCTCTCCAGCTGGATGAGCAAGGAATCGAGTTCAGCCCAGTTAGCTCTGTTGATAGCGAATTTGCGGTGCTTTCGAGTCATGATGTGCTAAACAGCGGTCAGTTGCTATCTTCAAACGCGGTTCGGGAGGTCTCACCTCATCAAAGTCATCGAATTTATCCCGGCAGTTTTCGCAATAACCTGGCTTAGGGTCTCTCCGTCGCTCCTTTTTCTTCGGGGTGGTCCCCTTTCGGGTACTCGCGAGTCGCTTAAGTGCCCCGGTGCCCTCTAACTGCGCCGTCTCTTCCTCAAACACATTCACAGCTTTCTCCGTGTGGCTTAGATTACTCGGTCGATTCTCATGGTTTCTCGGCTTCAAATTCGTGTTCATGTTCGTGGTTTGATGCGATAATGGCACCGTGCCAGCGGCAATCACCCCGTTCCCTTTCTCGAGTACCTTCCGCTTCAATTCATGGACTTCTTTGCTCAGGCCAGCCTTAGCCCCGGGTGCAGCGGCAGTCGAAGATACCATTTGGGAGCGGATGGCAGAGGTGATGTTCGAGGGCTGCACCCCTGACGCTGCAGGTTCACGGCCATGGAAGAATGGACCCGTGCGCTGCATTGGAGGTGGGCAGAAACTCTCTGAGCTCTTCCTAGGCGACGGTGGTCTAGCCGGCTGCATCTCCTGCATCTCAGGCTGGTTTGGTTCGCAAATGACCTCTGCGGGGCTATAGTCCGGTGTTGCCTCCTCAGCTTCATCTGGGGTCTTGGTGATCTCCGGCACATTCAATTTCGTATCTCGAAGTTCTTGGATGGGGACAGGTTTCGGCACCGGCTTCTTCTCCTTCTCGCGTTGACGGGCGCGTTGTCGGTCCAGCTCCTTCTTCGTAGGCGGCTCGTCGATGAACGGACACTTGCCCAGGGGTGCACTTCTGAATTGCGGCCAGGTCCCATCCTGCCGTCTGGCAACCCTGGCGTACTCACGGACCATGACAGGCCGGGTCTTTTCATCCATGTCATGAACGTAGATAAAAGGGCCTTTGAACAAGATCTGCTCCTTGAGAACTGAGTGAGGATTCCGGTCAGACGGACCGTTAAGCTCATTTTGAAGCACTTGTGAGAGGTCGTTTTCCCCCTTGACCCTGGTGTGGCCAGTGACGGCATTTGTAGTTCGAGTCGAACCCGTATGGCCCGCGATATCCCCATCATTAATAGTAGCAATCATCCGCTGGAGTTTTTCGATAGCCCAGATCTTCATGCGCATTTGCCGGGCTCGGTGCAGCACATCCATTCCCCTCTGTTCGCGCCGTGCATCGTTCTTAAGGGACATGTGAAGGTGGCTTTCGGCGCTCTTATCAAGTAGAGACGGATTGACGGTCTGCAAGGTCCCATCCGCATTCAATTGTTCTGTAGGTTCCGCGTTGATCTCGGTCGGGGTCACGGTGTCATTTTCAGGGGGGATTGGGCGAGAGGTCACGACGTGGCTCACTTGACGCGAGAAGAATTTTTCTTCACGCTATGGAAAGGTCAGCAAATGTGTCAATGGCACACGAACGGACATATTCAAGGCATGAGTACACCTTGAGCCCCTTTTAACCAAAGGTTCTCCGGTGTTAACTGAAAATCGAGGTGGGCTGGGGGCAAACAAAAACTTACAGCTCCTAGAGCCAGAACCTGTCTTGAGCATTTGCTTCGAACATCCTCCGGGATACTGTCGAAGTAGAAGACGAATTGAGGGAAAGCCTTTCGGTAATGTCTTTGCCACTGTCGCATGGCATCCAGCGTCTCAGCGGACGGCTTGTCGTTTCTGGTAACTTTTTGTTGACTCTGACGTTCCTTGTCCCTGACGGCAACCAACTTCCTCTCGAACGCGCTGGGCTGGGCATTGTTGGTCCGACGTGTAAACAGCTTAGAGTCCGGGTTCTGCAAGGCGGAAGTTCGGGGACGGGTGGGTGATCGAGCCTCCGGGTCCTGGCCATCGACTACCTGCTTCTTCGGAGGAGGCTGGCCGTAAGGGATGTCAAGCTGGGTTGACGCCGCCCGGAGACGTTTGGCCGGCACGAGGCCTGACCTGTGAGGGGAATTGGTAGCATTCGGCACGTTTGCGAGTGGTCGGCGAGTCGACATATTAAGAGTGGTTCGAGGGGAGGGTGGGATGAATACTGCTGCCATGTGGTAACAATAGCGGCAGCACTATATGAACGAGGAATAAGAGTAGGAGGAGTAGGTTGGAAGGGCAATAAAGGAGGGGCACTCCAGACGAGCACGCGATGGGATTACACGTCTCGACGAGCAGAGAACTCGATCAGAAAAGGTCCATTGTCCACGCGATTTATACGATAGTAACAGGGAGTGGATGTGAACAAATGAGACTTAGATGGTCCCTTAATTAGAAGGGGATCCGACCAACAGTCCCAAGCCTAAAGGAAGGAAGAGTAGGAGGGCAAAGAGAAGTAGGGGGGGAGGAGGAGGAGTAAGTAGAATGGTTGGTGGTTGGTAGTGGTGGTGGTAGTGGTGATGATCGAAGAGAAGAGCCAGGCTAAAGCGTGTCAGGGAAGGTTGGTGGAGAACGGGCGGGTTTGTTTTGGCTCCGGGATGTGCGCCTGACAACAAAAGGCGTGCGCGAAGCATGAGCCCTGCCTCCTCCAAGAACATTCTTAATTAATTCCCTCGCTATTCAGGCTCTTCACTGATTGCCTGATGCTCAGAGTGAATCTATCTCCTTTCCTTGATTCTCACCTGTGAACAATCTGGTTGTATCTTCGACTCACGAATTCGTCTTAATGAGCCAAATTGAACCAAACCTGGACGCGTCCAGACAATCCCATTGATGCATCACGAAATGTATGACGTCTATCCTAGCACCAAAACTTGGTTTGTATGTTTACCTGCACCTGAACGAGGTCATTACCTCTAAAAATGGGAGAGTTGGTTTCTAGTTTACAATTAAATCGAAGGGTATCTATCCAATGTTCCTGTTTCTTCTATCCTAATCCCGAAGGGCTTCAATGTCTTCGACCTAAAGTAGCACCCAGCGCGTCAGCAACAAATCAAGACCGATGAAAAGCAAAGCTTACCTCTTTGACAGCTTCTGTAGTCAGAACGATAGGGTTCTCGTCACCGATACAAACACTATCCTCAATGCGAATACCGATTCCGCGGAACTTCTCCGGCCAACGGTCGCTTTCGGGAACATACAGGCCACTGGAAAGAAGAGTATTAGTGTGAACATAACAGAACTGGGCAAGAGATACGTACGGCTCCACTGTGATACACTGTCCTGCCCGCAGAGTATAGCCACGAGAATACCCCGAGCAATCATGGACATCAAGCCCAACATAGTGTCCCACGTGGTGAGGGAAGAGGATTCCCATGGCCTGTCTCAGATCAGTACCTCGAACACTAGATTAAAATGGCGTAAGGCGGCACTTACATCGCCAGAGACATCAAATCCGAGTTGTATCAACTGTTCCCGCAGACCGTTCTCAGCAATCGTATGCAACCGATCCAAGCTCACCCCTGCATCTTCCCTGCAGAGGGAGAGACAGTGGCGGTGCACGCTCAGGACCGCGTTGTACAGGTCCTTCTGAGGGTCGGTGAATTTGCCATTGACAGGCCAGGTTCTCGTAATATCAGACACATAGGTGCCCGTTTCCTATGACACTGTCAGTGCTTGTTTTAAGAGCTCTTTTGGAGAGGATACTCACTCCGCCTCCGTCAACAAGGATCATGTCTCCATCCCTGGGTGCTCGTATTAGAACATCACTTAGTAAATACGACCGCATATACTTACCGGAGCACATCGTCATTTCTAGTGTAGTGAATGCTCAAGGCATTCTAAACATGTTAGGGTCGGTCTGTCATCAAGCATTAGGTGGATTCAACTTACGGAGCCACCCGCAACAACCGGGACAAAGGCACTGCCATCGCAACCATTGCGTCTGAAGTTATACTCGAGGTATGCGGTCAAGTCTCTCTCCTTGGTGAATGTCTGCCTCATAGCTTCAGTGAACGCTCTGCCGGAGGCCTGTCCCACCCGGCGCATCTGTACGACCTCGTCTTCGCTCTTAAAGACTCTCATTTCATTCAGTATCGGCTTCAGTGGCTTGACCTTGCGGTAGTCGACCAGTTTCTTCAGCTTCTCGGAGGTAGCAGTGGGTCCGTAGAGGAAGCGATGAAGGGACGACCGCCCGGGGTTCAAGGCGGGAATATCCGTATAGATCGCCGTAGCATCCGACAGAATCTTGGGTAGCAAATCTCCAATGCGATCGATATCCCCTGACTAGAATCCAGTATGTCATCAGCGCCCGATTCGTTATATGTAACGGTACAAGCATCCCTACCTCGTCCGCGTTGAAAACATCGATAGCAGCACGGGTGCCTGACCGGGCTCCATCCCAGAGTTCGGCCTTCGCGTCCTTCTCGCGCACGTATAAATGGAAGAGATGATTATTCCCTGATCCGTCATTTGCTGCTAAAGGGTTAGCACAGAGTACCCTCGGCCTGTTTCGTTCGTATTCCGCCATGTCAGAAACGCACCGACGATAGCCAGCGCACTGGGTTCGTTGAAGCCAGTAAGATAGAAGAAATTGGAGTCTTGACGGTATTCATTGAAGATTCCCGCTGCGCGATAGGTGACCTCCGAGGCAGCCAGCACGGCTACAGCATGCTTGGGTAATTTGTTTGCGAGTCGCGAGCGGCGCTGGGCATATTCGAGGGCGGTGATTCCTGGGGTCACTTATTCAACAGGACCATGATCAGTACCATGGCACAAGATAATGAAGGAGCATAGTACAGAGGCTCAGCTGTACTCACATTCACCCGGGTTCAAGATATGAGGATGTGTCTCGTGAAGCGGTTGACCGAATTTGAGTTCTGCGGCGGAGATGGAAGCATAAGTTCGGCGAAGCGCAAGACGCGGTTGACACTGTTTGAGCACCGAACAGCTAGAATGCGATAGGAAAGCGGAGGGTGTCTGGCGGGGGAGGTAGCGAGGCCATTGGCGGAGAAGTACTTTGCATGTCGACATGCTTATTGAAGTACCACCATTGAAGGTGCGTCGAAGGCGCTTATCTCGAATTTCGCGTACGGCGTATGGTTCGGATCTTACAACGGTGATCTCCAACATCCGGGGTCCCAAGGTTTCTGTTCCTGCCTCAGGCACAACTTACATGCTCGGCGCTGCCGGCCAATCAACGTTAAGTAGTTTCCGATGGTTTCCTCCATCGCTGTTTGGATTGGCCGTGGCTTCACAACCGCAGTATCTCGGAGTTGAGAGACGTACCACAGCCCATGCTTCTTATTACTGAGAAAAGTAGTCGATTGCGAATGGATCATAAGTGATAATACTACCATGTGTATACCATGTGAAGCTGCTTACTGGAAGAGTGGACCTAATCTTTTATAGGATTATGAGTGACTCATGAACAAAATAAATACCTAGTAATGTCTGGGCTCAATCAACGCCAGTAGAAAGAACATTAATTCATCCTTCCATTCTTTCTGTACTGTACAGCGTCAAACCCAAATTATCTGCTTGATTTTCATTAAACTTGCTGGGAACAAACCAACAAAATGGGAAGGACTCTAACATATCCCAAGAAACCGTCAAACACCGTCAACCGCTACAAACATCGAGGTAAGACAGTGCCCAAAGGGAAAGCACAGCTCAGCTAACCACGATATAGCGACCTATGACCTCGGTGCCATTCATTCTATCATCAACTCCACCCAGGTCCTTCATGTGTCCTTCAGCCCGGGGCCGTCTGAGCCCTTTCCCGCGATTCTACCTATGATCGGGCAGATGGGCTCCTTCGACTACCCATCCGCCAGCATTGACGAGCCGCTGGACTGCTACCTTCACGGCTATGTCAGCTCTCGAATCATGAACCTTGCGCGCGACTTGGAGGGAGAGGGCCTTCCCGTCTGTGTGGCGGCCAGTAAAGTCGACGGGCTTATCCTATCACTGACGCCCAACTCCCACAGCTACAACTACCGCTCTGCCATCATCCAAGGCTACGCGCAGCTGGTCACGGATGAGGCGGAGAAGCTGTACGCGATGGAGCTCATCACGAACTCCGTGCTCGCGGACCGCTGGGCCAACACGCGAGTGCCGCCCGACCGCGCGGAGATGTCCTCCACCGTCATTCTCCGGGTCAAGGTCGTCAGTGGCAGCGGAAAGATCCGCGATGGAGGGGTGTCCGACGAGAAGAAGGATACTGGCAACGAGGAGGTCACCGACCGGGTCTGGACGGGCGTGGTGCCTGTCTGGGAGACGTTTGGAGAGCCTGTCCCGAGTGATCAGAACAAGGTGGCTGACGTGCCGGGCTATATCAGCGCATTTGTGGCGGCGCAGAATGCGGGAAATCGTCAGTATGCGGAGAAGGCCATTGGGGTCCAGCTGCCGAAAGAGGAGCAGCATTGATATGTGTTGAGTTGGAGTACTTACTTGGATCTGCTTTTTTTTTTTTTTTCATTGTTGATTTCTTGATATTGTTCTTAGTCAATGAGCGGGTAGATATTCTTGAATTGATTGTGCATCTGAGCTATTCATAACGAGTTCAAAGTAATGGAGGGTGAGCCGGAATTGCCTGTCGACATTGTGCGGGGTATGGTGAGGGGATTTGGACGTTGATAATGCTACTAGGTAGGCTAGACACAAGACTCAGCCAAATAACCTCTGGGTAATAGGACGAACCACAAGACATGAGTCCTCAATTCTTCTCTCAGAGGAAGTCAAAGTATGAGAGGGGAATGTTTTGGTAGTACACTGATTAATGGATCATGTTGGGGATAAAGTTCATTATCGCATATACTTCGGTGGCTACCCCACGTCATCGCTTAGCGTCCCCCCTCATCGGAACGCCAACATGCTCTCTCTCAACTTCCAGATTCTTCAAGCGACCGGTCAGAAGGGGAAAGGGTATTCCTCAGTGTGCCTATCTAGAGTCGACTTCTCTCATTGCTGCTATTGTGACTCAATTTGTCCGTAGCAAGGCCGGCTACTAGATACACGGACCTACTCCACCTCGTTCCAGAGGCTACCGTCATGGCTTCGTCCCCCATACCAGCAGCAGACCTCAAGTCATTCACAGACCACCTTAGAGGGTGCAAAAGGGTCATTGCCCTTCTAGGAGCTGGCATTTCCGCCTCCTCTGGACTTCCCACCTTCCGAGGTGCTGGCGGAATTTGGCGATCCTACGATGCGACTGCACTGGCAACTCCTGAAGCATTCAACGCCAACCCAGACCTGGTATGGCAATTCTACAGCTATCGAAGGCATATGGCCCTCAAGGCCCAGCCCAATCGTGCACATTACGCTCTGGCCAAGCTGGCCAAGAAGAATTCCAAATTTATCACGTTGACACAGAATGTTGATGGTGAGTCTGACACTGCGCTCCCGAAGAAATGAGGAACAAAGAGAAATTCAAAAATTGTTTTATTCGCACACTAACCAGTTGACTTATTTCCAAAAACGCAGGCCTCTCGCAGCGAGCAGGTCACCCCTCTCACCAGCTCCACCTCCTGCACGGCTCCCTTTTTACTGTGAAATGTACGTCTTTCTACTGCAGCTACTCGCGCGAAAATGACTTTACCGACCCAATCGTGCCTGCACTCGCCCTTCCGAAAGGTGCGGCAAATCTCGATCCATCACCCGAAGATTCGACAGGTGAGCAGGCGTCTCGAGCTTTGGCGGGCGCGCTGAAGGGTGGAGAAGGCGAAGAGACAGAACTGGATATCTCCGATGAACGGGTTCCTCTACCCGCGCTGAGTCCCGATGTCCTCCCCCGCTGTCCAGAGTGCAAGGAAGGGCTCCTACGGCCCGGGGTAGTGTGGTTCGGGGAAAGTCTACCGCTACGAACGCTCGACTATATCGACAAATGGCTGAGTGCGGACACGGTGGATCTCATACTGGTAATTGGGACTAGCTCGCAGGTCTATCCTGCGGCAGGGTATGTCGATAAAGCGCGCGCAAGGGGTGCAAGGGTGGCAGTCATCAATATGGATCGCAACGATGTCGGGTCTTCTGGGTTGACTTCGAGGGATTGGTTCTTTCAGGGAGATGCTGGAGTCATCGTACCTCAGATATTGGAGCCTATCATTGGCAAGGTATGATAAGGAGGGGGTCCAGAAGAGGGTTCTATCTGGCTATCTAGAATGATTGCATAGCAGACTACGAAAAGAAGAGAAGAGCGGGGTACTGCTGCTTCACCGCAATTTTCTCGTGGATACCACCGTAATACTGTGAATTTAATGGACGTTTCCAAATTGGCTAAACAGTCAACAAGACGTCATGTTTCTTAAGTTTAAGTCCAAGCTCCGATTTCACTCTAAATCCCCAGATTTTCAGCCGTCAAGGCCCTGTGTCGCAGGCTCAAGTTCCATGTTGGGTCCATGCGTCCGAAGCGGTTGCCGGGGCAAATAGGGGAAACCAAACCAAACAAATGATAGCGCTATCGATAAAATGTGGCAGGCGTCGGCACTAACAAATACGTACTCCGTAGCGGGATCTTCTTTTTGGTCTCCATCTCAGCCCCTCCTTCCCTTCCCCTCCATCTCTTCTCCAGCTCTGGAATAACCTAAGCATCCTTTGCTCGATCATGATCTGAAGTGAGTTTATGCTTGAGGTTCAGCCTTCACTTCACCCTCATCCCTTGCGTGTACTGCAAAGCCTTCACCTTTCGCCATCTTTGAGGGTGTGTGCCTTGCTAACCACTTGCTGGTCTTACTGAGGATCAAACTAGACTTCCCATTCAACCAGACCTGGAACTCAAACAAGTTATTGGACTGCTCTCTCGGAAGCTCGATGCACACAATAGACGCATAAACAAGCGCGGAGCGGCAACTACTAACCTACAGGACCGTACCAACAACAATCCCCCATAACCATTACTCAACATGGCGCGCGAAAGTGATGCTCCGATAGACCCCATGACGCCTCGCCGGCCAACTGACGGGCAGCAACAACCACAGCGACAGCAGCAGCAGCAGCAAGAGCCTCGTCGTGTTCATCCAGAGTTCGGGAAAGCAACTCCTCTTCGCCCAGTGCAACACCAGAGTCACGCTCACCCGAGCCTGAAGACTCACCACCCGAACTCTTCTACCACCACCACCACCAACAACAACAACCGAGGCAACCCTTTCAACATTCCCAAACCCAATCAAGCTCGCCCCGAACATCACCGACCCCAGCAATATGCACGACCTCAGCACCAGCCTTTCCCCCATCCCAAAGGACCGATGACCCCAGGCCCTGCTGGAGCTTTCTCTACCCCTCGTCGGGCAGACCACTACGACCCTTTCAAGCCCGTTCGTCCCTCTGCCTATAACAACAACCGCTTCTCCCGCCCAGTCAACGACGATGTCGTCGAGATTCGCCGGCCAGAAAATTATACCTTCAATACGCCGCGGGCGCCCAAGACTTTCTTTGCCTCCAAGCCCTCGGCCATCAAGATGTCAAATGCGTCGCGGAATCTACAAAACTTCGTTGATTTAACTGGTGAGGGTGGGTTCACGCCGAGTGCGCGGCCCAAGAATACAGGGTTCGGATCGATGGATGTGAACGGGTTCGTGGATACGGCGAAGGCGAATGAGAATATTAAGGCATTGTTGGAGGGGGCATTTGAGGATGACGAGGACAATGAGAAAAAGAAGGACAAATCAAAGAAGAAAAAGAAGAAGGACAAGAAGAGAGATTCCAAGAAGGAGAAGAAGGATTTGACGAAAGAGAAGAAGCAGGACACCGTTGACATTGATGATCTTGCCGCGCAGCTGGAGGGTGTGACGGTGAAGGAGACGAGAACTTCAGATGACAGTGAGGATGAAGACGAGACATCTCCGAGCTCGTCTAAAGCCTCCGCTGAGGATTCGGCGAAGGAAAAAGAAGAGGAGATCACCAGCGAGGTTGATGCGGAGTCAGAAGACGAGGAAGACGAGGAAGAAGAGGAGGAGGAAGATGACGATGATGGGACAGTGGAAGGACTTAAGGTCAAATTACTTCCTCACCAGCGCGAGGGTGTCAACTGGATGTGTGATAAGGAAACTGGCCGAAACAAGACGAAGGGTGTTCTTCCCAAGGGTGGTATTCTGGCTGATGATATGGGTCTCGGAAAAACCGTTCAGACGATCGCCCTGATCCTTTCTAACCGGAAACCTGCAAATGGATTAAGAAGATCTAAGTCCGAGGATGAGGACGACAGTGACGATGACGAAGAAGAGGATACTCGGAAACTTCCGCCCGGTCTCAGCAAGACCACTTTAGTCGTCGCACCTCTGGCACTTATCAAGCAGTGGGAAGCAGAGATCCAAGACAAAGTTGAACCCTCACACAGGCTTCGTGTGCTAGTTTACCACGGCACTGCACGCGCAAAGGCGACAGACAACTTGGAGGACTACGATGTTGTCATCACTACCTATGGAACTCTGACGTCGGAGCATGGTGCGATCGACAAGAACAAGAAGAAGACGGGCATCTTTTCGGTCTACTGGTATCGGATCGTCCTGGATGAGGCCCACACGATCAAGAACCGAAACGCCAAGGCAACCCAGTCTGCTTGTGCTCTCGACGCTGAATATCGGTGGTGTCTATCAGGAACGCCGCTGCAGAACAACCTTGACGAGCTCCAGAGTCTCATCAAATTCCTACGGATCAAACCATTCAACGATCTAGCCAATTGGAGAGAGCAGATCACGAAGCCCATAGCTAACGGTCGCGGTGGTCTTGCCATTGAGCGCTTGCAGGTCTATCTCAAGATCTTCATGAAGAGACGGACCAAGGACGTTCTTAAGCAGAACGCCAACCTCAAACCGGGAGAAGAGGGCAAGGGAGGTGAAAAGAAGAAGTCCAATGGCTTCCAGATCGTCAAACGAGAGGTCGTCAAGGTTGAAGCCGAATTTATGCCCGGGGAACTGGACTTCTATAAACGCCTTGAACAGCGTACAGACGACAGTCTGGAGAAGATGATGGGCGGTGAAAAGGTCGACTATGCCGGCGCATTGGTCCTATTGTTGCGCCTCCGGCAGTCGTGCAATCACCCCGACCTGGTCAAGAGCGATCTTGCAAAGGACAAAGATATTCTCCTGCAGACAGGAGCCACTGGTAGTCAATCGTCATCTAACAAGAACGATGACCTGGACAGCATGGCAGATCTGTTTGGAGCACTGAGTGTGGTGTCCAAGAAATGTGATATCTGTCAGATGGATCTTAGCAAGGACGAGGCATCGGGCGGTAGAAGCAGATGCAGAGAGTGCCAGACTACGTTGGATACAAATGTGATGACAACCGACAGGAAGAAAAGGACTGGTCCCAACGCGGTTATTGATCTGACACAGTCACCTTCAGCGCGCCGCTCCGAGGCCCAGACGGCTCGACTCCGCAGAAACAGAAGAGTGGTTCTCGACAGCGATGACGAGGATGACGAGGATGGCGAAGATGGCGAAGATGGCGAGTGGATAGTCCCAGAGAATCAGCGCAAGGAAGCCAATCTAGGGAAGGCTGGAGGGACCGACGATGAGGATGCTGAGGGGGGCGGTGAATGGCTCAACTCGGATGATTCTGATGACACCGACGAAGATGAACCGGATTCACCGAGTCGAAAGCCTACGAGCATACGCAAAGAGACTCATGGCCTTGTTACGATCGATAGCGAGGATGATGATGACATCTACCTAAATCCTGGGGATGACGCCGGCGACGTTCTCCCATCTACCAAAGTCCGTCATCTCATGAAGATCCTCCGACGTGAGTCGGCAGACCACAAATTCATCGTCTTCTCGGTTTTCACCTCCATGTTGGACAAGATCGAGCCCTTCCTGAAGCGCGCGGGGATTGGATTCGCGCGGTATGATGGTGGCATGCGTAACGACCATCGCGAAGCGAGCCTCAACAAGCTTCGCAACAACAGTGCCACGCGGGTTCTTCTGTGCAGTTTGCGAGCTGGTGCATTGGGACTGAATCTCACAGCCGCAAGCCGTGTAGTCATCCTGGAGCCATTCTGGAATCCTGTAAGTTGAACTCGACCTATTGAGTGGGAGAAATCGTACTGACTTTACAAATCCAGTTTGTCGAAGAGCAGGCGATTGATCGAGTTCACCGACTCAATCAGACCCGGGACGTCAAGATCTTCAAGATGATCATCAAAGGCACGGTGGAGGAGCGGATTCTTGACCTTCAGGAACGCAAGCGGGAACTCGCGAATGTGACCATCGAAGGCAAGACCGCAGCTGCCAAGCTCACAATGAAGGACATGATGGCGCTGTTTGGCAAGGATGCCGAAGCACGATACAACGGAGACAGCAACATCGACTTGACACAGACCACTAAGCTGTTGGCCTCGGGGGCTGATGGCGGCTCTCCGTACGTGAGCAAGAGCAGCGCAAACCGATCCGCCGAGTCGCAGTCGCGTGAGCGCAACCGTCAGCAGGGCAACCGTGCCTCTCGGACGGAGGATTCAGTGTATGGAAGACGGTGGTAATCTAGATGATGGCTGTATAATCGAACTTCGAAACGCATCGTGTGATGGGCTATGTACATGGATCCTTGGCACGAGGTCAATGCATTGGAAGGTGTTGGTTGGGGGTTTAGCTAGAAGGATACACGGTTTCAGGACATTTACTAGTGCATTACATGTTGTTATGTGGATATGGATAAAATCATGATTTCGGGTTTTATGCTGCTTATTGCGGGTCGACAATGGGATGGATATATTTCCCAAACTTCTGACTCGCATCTCCCTGAGTAGGAATTGGGTAGAGTATACGGAGTAGCTTGGCAGTCCTGTCAAACCATACTCCGCGCTGTTTCATGAATTCTGTCGACCGTTTCAGATTTGACAGGGATCAAGGAAGTTGGGCCCTGCAGATATAGTCTTTATATCACCCCTGCCTATTGACTAACTTATCCGTTTGGCGTAGATAGATTGGAAACAGAGGAATGATCCGGCGGAGACTATTGCAACCCACATCCGGCTTGTCTATGGTTATCCTCGACCACGGAGGTGGTTTAGCCTCCCTCACGCCGGACTGGAGTAAGGGCTATGGGTGCGTCCTTCCTGCTTCTCTCGCTTCCTTTGTTCTATCGGATCTGTGGCTTCCGTTATGATGACGGTGTAAATCATCCTCGTCTTGATCATGGCGCTTGGTGTTGAGACAACTAATACCCGAGGATATGCTGAATGCTGATAGTTAGACAAGGCAAGTTGACAAATCCATCCCCTCTCCCTCCTCTTTTTCCTGATCTCCCTCCCCGAGCGCCCCCTTCGATTCATGGCATGCACTACTATCGCCATGATCACCCACGGTCCCGTACATGGTGGGGGTGAACAGGGTATGAGTATGTGGATTATAGATAGGGCTGCGGGGTAAGACACCCATACTCATATGAGTAGTTAGATCGGAATTGTCATCTCCCCCCCTACGATCAAGATCAAGCCTTAACTTACCAATTCTTAAAGTGGATGCCCTTCTTTTCTAGGCAGGAAGGAAGGAGGCCCACCCCGGGGGGGTTATAGTGGGGCTGTAGGCACACCCAAATCAATTTGCTGGAATCTTGATCATCTGTGTTAAGGCTGTGCAGGATTACGGTACGGAGTAGGATTGATTGAATTGCATTTCTGGCGGTACGGCGAGCCGCGAATTAGAGGTGGGGAGGGTGCACAGGGCGTATGTGATCTGTCAGAACGATAGACGGGGTTTTTATGGTGGCGCACGCTTGGTTGGGTAAGGCGCTTCGCTTTTGTTCGGTTGTATTGCTTGAGGGTGTGGGGCTATGCATAAATTGAAGATACTGTCTACTAGGTACTGGGTGCTGAGTGGTTACTGGGGGGGAGCGCCGGTTTTGTTGATGTCAGGTTGGTGGCTTTGCAGGTCAAGTGGTGTGAGGGCTTCGTCAGGTAGACGATATATTTGGTGGTTTGCCTATCAATGAGCATGTACATGATCATATGTCCACCGACCTAGTGTTGTAGGGACTGCGGTAGGTCCAGGGGGGGATAATAACGCCACTATCTAGCCTCATGCGAGCGAGCATTCCCGGAAACCATTGGACTGATTAGGGTAAAAGGAGTGGGGGAAGTCAGCCACCGCCAGAAGAAGTACTGCACTCATACTCTCTGCAGGCCCTACGCAATAATACCGAAGTACTATAGACACAGACCGTGTGGAGTGATTGGACCCTTGCCAGCTAGTCACTCGTGACTGCCAATCGATTGGATTTGGAATTCTAGCCCTGCCCCAAAGAAAGTGCCCCGAGATAGGCTAACTGGATACTGAAATGATAAGTTAGTCTACGGGATATCCGGTCTAGATTGGTGTTGCTGCTACTGCTGCTGCCTGGCCCGCTTATAGTGTAGCATTATTACTGTATACTGCACTCGGGACGAGTAAAATGCGGTAGCGAGATCTGCCAAGTATGGCAGGGTCGGACAGTGAGCCATATTCGTTACGAGTCAGTCAGTACTAGTTGTGCTGGTAGATAAGCGAGGGGTTTGCAGTTCCTGTCAGCAGCGGAAATGCCATCCTCCGTTGCCGATCAACACGGGAGGGGAAGTATGAGTACGTTGGGGTGCACCAGCCCCTGGTACGAGAAGGATGGATGGTCTGGTCTGTGGCTTGAATGGTTGCGGGGAGAGGAGGTTGCTGTCGATCAGGGAGGATTGGCACCGGGGATATTGCCGGGGAGGGTTAGAGATGTGGTGCGATTGGGAATCGAGCGGGTCGGTTGGTGTCTCCGCCGTAAATGTATAGGTAGTAGTATTGTTCGGGTAGTTATATCCCGCGGACTATCGGCGCAATTGCGTGGTCATGCGGCAGGGGATGGCGAAATTGAGGGTTATATCCGAGTTATGGTGGAGGTGAGTAACAGACGTAGGGTTGATCGGGGCAAAAAGAATGGCTTGAGTTGATTGACAACAATTGTGAGTAACCGAGCCAAGGTTGGTGGCATTGTAGAGCGAGAAGGGAACGAAATGAACGAGGATAGCACCTATAGTGCTGTTGTGCAAAAAGCTTTGACAAGAGTGGGATTCGAACCCACGCCACTTGCGTGACTGCAATGCTCTTCAGATGTGATCTGGAGAAGGAATAGTCCTTGAGTGCAGCGCCTTAGACCGCTCGGCCATCTTGCCCTTGTTGATATTACTGCATGAGTAAATCTTTATAGACCCACAGTTTGGAAGCGAAGTTGCAACAAATCGTGTCCCCTTGTCGATTGATCGGGATGTTATACAAATGGGCTTGTTGTACAACGGACTGTGAAGAAGTTCGGCTCCATTTGAACTTGTAATCCTTATTGACTGGCGTACCTTGGGGCGGTCCATCCATCATCGAATCAGGAAATGTCACTTCTTACCCCAGCAACTCCGTGAGTGTGACGTAGGCACAGTATATATCGATCGTACGTACCGCCCATGGAACTGCTCCTGATCCACCACCGGCGTCCATCGACCCAGATTCATCCCAGACAGATACAACGCACCAGTGCACAGTACATAAAGTCCACTGGAACATACTGACCAGGAACATGAAACCAACAGTGCACACCCAGCTTCAAAAACGAAAGGACAGCCTTTACGCATCTCCCAATATGAAAACCCACATACCGACGACCGACCTTTTACATGCGACCGGGATAAACCAATATCATGCAAGCACCTAGCCAGATGCGCATCAAACCCAAGCAAAAATCTAGTGACGTAACCAAGTTAAGTGAGATGAGACTAATGTGTACCACCTATCCAGTAAATGACGGCCTATATGTGAGAAATAGCAACATATTTGTCATCACAGGCAAGATGGCCGAGTGGTCTAAGGCGCTGCACTCAAGGACTACCTCTCCTTCTCCAGATCACATCTGAAGAGCATTGCAGTCACGCAAGTGGCGTGGGTTCGAATCCCACTCTTGTCATAGCTTTTTGCCTCTTTGACATTCTTCCGTATTTAATCTTGCCGATCTGCAGCGTTCCCAGCAGCGTATGTCCGTATCGCTTGTTGAGTGTCTACATTTTACTTTCTGCGTGCACCCGCCCCAAGCCCTACTGCAGCTGTCCGACACTCGCTTCGTACACCTCGCAAGCACATAACCACAGCACACTGGCACCGCCTGTCGCTTGTCTCCTGCACCAAGACCACCCCTAAGGAGAGCTAAGGTTTCCGCCCGGGGACGGTCACCGCAACACAGAGTCCCAGACTAACCAAAAAGCTGGCTAGGCCCGGTCGATCAGCGCCGTTGACGAGACGAGAGGCTGGATGCAATGGGCGAGGGCTCCACCACATCTTCGGGCCAAGAGCCTAGGAGGAACTTTGGGGGTCGGACCCGCCTTACTAGAAAACGATGATCCTGCAACTTGGGGGACGTGGATGGACCAGTCCGAACCTTTTTTTTGATTTTCTTCGACGTATTCTTCGCTTGGGGGGCGTGATGACCCTGTTCGTTCCTTATGATGATGGGACAGGGGGGGGAGGGGGGTTTACCATGGTGTAGGATAGGCGGGGCAAGAGTTCGCTTCGAACACGTTCCTCAGCAGCCCGTTACTGGGCTGAACCTCCCTGATCTTGGGATTGTTTGTTGTTGAGTATGTGAAAACCTGCGGAAGCCGATCGAGGGATGTATAGACCATCCACCGGGTCGGAATATACTGAGTGCTATGTTAATCGCATCGGATGTTGACAGACTAGACAGTCAATCAATCACCCCATTCATCACTTTAACTCTGACAGGGATCACTCTGCAGCATTCTCCATTCACCCAAACCTGAAACGCCAGACCAGGACCGACAGGGATGAGTGCAGCTAGCGTGAGCATCAACCCAGCGTACATGATCTGCGGGCTATTCGTGGCAACAGGGTGGGGTGGGCTTTTGTTCTCTGAATCTTACCAATGTAGCGCAGCCAGCGACTGCAGCGACGGGAAATACTAGGTAGTCTACTCCGTACTCCGTAATGCCTGCTCCCATGGACGGCGTACTCCGTACCTACACAGTACGTTCACAAGATGAAAGAGATTCTGCCCCCAAGCGGCAGCCGGGCACACTTTGAACCCGGTTGGTACAGCACTTAGACTGGTTGGGAGGGTCAAAAACGTGGCGGCCACGAGATGTTGCCACGCATGACCCTACGATTGGTTTCGAGGAGGAGGAGGAGGGGATGGAGGGATTGGCTCGAATACTGTTGTGGTTGGTAGCCCTGGCTGCAATACTACTGCAGGGAAGAGGAGAATGGAAGAAGGAGGGAAGACGAAATGCGACCGCAGAACAAGACAAGCGCACGGGCGGCCACTCACTCAGACAAGCAACTAAGATGCAACTAAGCGGTGAACAGATCATGTGAAACAAGAAACAATCACCAATCTACCTGTGAACAGAGGTACATACAGCCTAGTTCCTAGAAGTACCGAAGCCTTCGATGGATGTTCCTTGCGTGTGTTGGATAGATCCATATCCATCCATCCATCCATTGATGCATCCATCCATTCATCGATCAATCATCAGCAACTAGATCAAACGATCGATCGGGAAGGGAGGGGGGCTGTTTCTGGCCGGGCTAGGCTGCATTACAAGGATGATTCTGTCTTCTTTGTTCGATGCTAAAATAGTGGACATTAGTCTTAGTCTGGAACTCTGGATGGTTGCTAGGATGGTTGGCAAGAATGGGTTCATTCTTGCTGTAATCATCATGAAAGGGGCTTTCTGTCTTTCTGACTACATTCGGTCCATGGGACCCTTTCCGATGTCATCGGGATACCAACAATTCTTTTAGCTTTCCCCCAGCAGCCTCAATGTCTCTCCACCATATGATACATTTACCACCCTTTGGCTGCTACTTAGTATTATCCAACAAATCGTGATGGATATCTCTTTTGCTTGGGCCCTTTCAGCAGCAATCCTCCTTCAACTTTTGCCTTGCCCCTTTTCTTCCAGCCCGCCCTTTGAGCTTGTTGGACACTAAATTGTCATCATCACCGTTCCCGAAGTCAGCGTCGCTTATAGCAGCTTGACTATAATTGGCCCTACAGCATGGTCAAACTAGGTACTAGGTAGGTTTGGGACTCACCCCGATGCTGTGGACAATCTCTTCCCATCGATATATCTTTGACAGGATTGGCGTTGACCACATTCTCCCGCCGAGATCAGCTCAGCCGCAAAGAGAGGGTTTGAGACGAGGTATCCTAAGGGTAGGATCTTGATATTTCATAGTCCGTGCCCGAGGAGCCAGATCGTTGAGTCCAATCGTTTGTTATGGGTCAGTCAGCTCGTGTTGGCGACGACAATTGCTCATCCTGTCTTGCCCTGGTTTTACCCTTCCCCCCGTCAGTCGAGCATCACGTCCTTCCGGAGCTTAAATCCGAGAGGATTTGGGGCCCGAAGCTAAAAATGAAGAAAGACAAACAAACATCCAAAGCGACAGGTTGACAAGCCGAAACAAGAATTAGAATAAGAAAAGAAGCCGAAGCCGAATAAGAAGTCGGGAAAAGCAACCCTGGAGAGGACACTAGTAGAGAAAAAGTGACCCAAGACGGGATACTAGCATCTCAGCCTGGAGTAGTAATACGAACAGCATAAGTTAGTTACCTTGACCCGAGTAGTTAGTTATTCCCAGCAATTAAGGGAATATTGACATGGATTTCAGTTGGACACCATTTGGGGGCTTCAACAGCTTCTAAGGCTGTTTTTGGGATTTTCCTCGATTTTTTTTTTCTCTCTCTCTCTCTTTTGCGATAATAATTTTGCATGCACATTGATTAGGTTAGTTCATCGACAACCGATTACCTTGCTTGAGGCGGGAGGAGATCTTTAGGAGGCGACTACTCCGGCGCCCGCCTATGCTCTCACTCTCTCACTTTCTCACTCACACTCTCACACCCTTACTCTCAATCTTTCTCCCTCTCTCTCAGACTCTCGGTTTCACTTACTGTGTACAAGCATCCATAGTCCGACCGACCGACTGAGCTGGAGATTCCTTCACCTAACTTTGTGACTACAAACTCCTTCTCTCTTCCTTAACCGATACCCATACCCATCCACACTTACACACTCTCACTCTCACTTTACTCACTCTTTCCTTTCCCTATTTTCCCTTCTATCAACTACCACCATTACTACTAAACTACCTACCTAGTACACTATCTTAGGGGGCTTGCTTTCCTCCCCTTCGTTCCTCTTCTACTTACACACCTGACTCGGAAGTTCCTCAGTAACTTTTCTTCCCGCTCTTCTCTCCCCGTTCCTCTCTCAACCACATACGCCTTTCCTCCTCCCCCCCTTCTTCTTCCCCGACTGACTCTCCGCGTCGTGGTCCTTGTCAGGTTGTGTCTCGTCTTTTTTATTTTTTTGTTTCTTATTTTTATTTTTTTTGCTTTTTTATTTTTCAAATCTCCCCCCTTTCTGAACCTATTAATTCTCTCACACTGTCACTCCTCCAAACTCACCGCAACCTGTCTCGACTGCTAGAACTCTCTTCATTGGGGTAGGTCTCACCTGTCAGATTGCTGTCTTTTCCCCTGCCAATCGGGAAAATGAAACCCCTCCGCCCACGTTCTTCCGCGCTCTGCAGAGACCACTGCACTCTTCCGCATTTCTCGAATTTCTAACTAACTTCTGCTTGTCTTGCCTAGTATAGCTCCGCATGTGTGAGCTTGCCGATTGATCCATAAATCTCAATCTTCTCCAGCCTTTCCCCGTGTCGAATAAATCTCCATCCGCTTCCCTGCCCTCCGCCTCTCCCCACCCCCCTCATTCCAGCATTGAGCCCTCGACCGAGCTATCTTCTCGACCGACAGAACTGTGATCGAATGGGATGTTGTCGGAGGTGACTCAAAAGGAAGGATCTCAGCATTTGTTGTTACACGGCTTCTTAAATGGGGAATTCTCAAGGGAAACAGGTGGTCCCCACCGATGAGTGTGCGTAACCGCTTTCCGCCCCCTCCCCCCTGGATCTCCCACCGCACGCATTTTCGAGCGAGCGCAGCGATGGTGAGATGACGTAGGGGTCTTGATACTGATTGTTGCATGCAGTGAACTTGAATCAGTTCCGCCTGCTACGGGTGGTAGGAAAAGGTGCTTTTGGAAAGGTCCGCATCGTGGAGAAGAAGGACACGGGCTTGACGTTCGCTTTGAAATACATCCGGAAAGAAGAAGGTATGACTTCGCTAACCAACCAAGCACCCGCGACTCCCTGCTAACACTTTCTTCCTTTTGCGGTGTCTAGTGGTCCGGTCGGAGAGCGTACGAAACATCATCCGTGAACGACGCATGCTGGAACATCTCAACCATGCCTTCCTTTGCAACTTGAGATACAGCTTCCAAGATATCGAATATATGTGCGTCTCACAAGAGCTCCCTCGATGCGATTCAGTTACTGATATCCCCGAAGTTACATTGTGGTCGATTTGATGAATGGCGGCGATCTGCGATTCCATATCTCAAGAAAGTGCTTCACCGAAGAAGCTGTACGATTTTGGGCGGCGGAACTGGGCTGTGCTCTGCGGTACATTCACTCGCAGGGTATTATCCATCGTGACGTGAAGCCCGACAATGTGCTATTAGACTCCGAAGGACACGTGCATTTGGCCGATTTCGTATGTTTCTCCTCAGGAGCTGGAAGAGTGTGGTTTCTTCCTTGTATTTTCTTTTGCTGACCTTATCCTCCAGAATGTGGCCTCTGACTTTCGGCCCGGCAAGCCCCTCACGAGTAAATCTGGCACTCTGGCCTATCTGGCCCCCGAGGTTTACGAAGGAGGCGGATACTACAGCGAAGTCGATTGGTGGTCGCTTGGCGTGACCTTTTATGAATGTATTTATAACAAGGTTTGTGGAGTGATCCTTGGAACAGGGCTGAGTTGGCAAGCTAATTCCCATGCCAGCGTCCATTCGAGGGCCGCAGCCAGGACGTGCTCAGCGAAAACATCAAAAAGGCGCAACCGAAGTACTACGTCACAAACCCAGCCGTCTCAGTCCCGTGTCTTAGAGCGTTATCCGCCCTGATGGAAAAGGACCGTTCGAAACGAATTGGAGCTACAGGCTTCGAGACATTTACTTCGCACATGTTCTTTGCCGACATCGATTTCGAGGCCCTGGAAAGAAAGGAAATCCCCCCCGTGTTTCGACCATCCAGCGACAAGACCAATTTTGATGCAACGTACGATCTGGAAGAATTACTTTTGGAAGAGGCGCCGCTCGAGGCCAGGGCCCGCCGACAGAAACCGCGGGCGGAGTTGCGGGAAGACGCCACGGCGAAGGAGATCCGGGAGGATGAGCTACATCGCCTCATTGAGACGATGTTTGAGCCCTTCGATTATACTCGGGTGTCTTACAATGGGTACGTCTACGTCCACGTCCACGTCCACGTCCACGTCTACGTCAACGTCAACGTCGTTATCGACAGCAGTTGTTATTTAATAAGTGGTATGTGGTCCGCTAACCGAAAGTCTAGAAGCGCCGCCGAAGCTATTGCCAATTCATCGTGAGTATTCGAATCCTCGTCTCTGTTAGGGGGGCCGAACCCGTGGCTAACTTCACGCTAGAAACCCCGAAGAATGCCTTCCCATTCAATCCGCATCCGCCCACACACGGCAAGTCTCACAACCTGATCTCTCGAGAAACTCACCGCCTCCACGGAACGAAGGGTCCGTCGGTCACTTGACCCAGCCCGACACACCATCCCCCCTGAGCGAGACCCCGACTTCTCAGCAATCGCAATCCCTACCACCACCGCCACCGCCGCCCCCGGCCCCAGCTCCTTCTTTCAGCAGACCGCTACCACCACCCGCAGCTGGTCGTCCACGGGGCGCAACACGGAAGGCTAGCAAAGGTGGCGGCGTTCAGATGGTATTAGAGGAAGCCGGAAGTTGGAGTGAGCTCGCGGACCATAGCTCGACTCTCCCGGCTGAAGGATACGACACCGTAACCGGTAAAGGCAAAGGCTCGAACAGCGGCATGCTTGCTTTTCTGAGTCGGAAAAAGGGACGTGATAGGAGTCCCAAGCCCCAAGAACCTGGTGTTCTGGGCAAAGAAGGTGCAAGACAGATCATCAGTTGAGATTGGTGTGTTGCGCCTTTACCACGGGAGGGAAGAGATACTTTCGGCTTAACTCGAGCAGCATTGGACACGAGAGCTGATGGTAGGCTTCATCTTGCAGAGGAGAAAGCTTGGCTTGCGAATCAGTGTGGCATGGATTTCTGTCATCCTGAGTCGTGGTCCGAAGGCAGCTATGTACCATGGATGGAATCTTGAAGACTGCAGGTCAATTGGTTCACTCCTACCAAATTTACACGCAGCATCGATCCATGGTGGTAAGGTGGTGGTGGTGGCGGTGCGACTCTGCATTGTTGTGTGTCCGCCGCAATGCCGGGGTATCGTACTCAATTGAATTTGTTTCAATAACGTCGACTGACTCGAGCTCGGAACTCGATTTTCCAGTCACCAAATCGACACGAAAGGAGTCTTGTGATACGACAGCACTAATTTCCTACCGGTTTCTCGTATAACCCCTCGGAACCAACACGGATCATCCCCAACACTCAACTTGGGCTTGTTTTTGTGATTCGCCCGGATCTAACGCAGACGAGGGGGTTCTTCGACCATTCTCCCCGATACGTGCGCGGGAGTTGTACAGACAGGAGTGGTATACGAACCGTTTATAATATACTTGATCGATTTTCATGTTCATTCTTTCGTGGCATGCCCGGTGATGGTTGCGTTGTATTCTACTTTCTGTTGCTGTTATCCGCTCTCACTTTAATTTCCTTGCGGCGTTTGCATACCCCTCCGGCTAGTCTTTGCCCTGAAGTTGTTCTGTTTCGTCGATCTTATCATGAAGAGAGGTAAAGACCGGGGCAGGGTGAAGGTCTTTTCTACATCTGTAACTAATGATTTATTACCCTGATTATACCTATAGACGTGTTGTGGAAGCCTGTTGGGATGCAGACTGGTTGAATATGATACATAAGTCGTGTGAAATCGAACAGAAACAGTTTTGGAAATTTCTGGAAGCTCCTCGAGGTCGTCTTGCGAGAGATCTTGGATGTTTTAAATAGCTTCAGGTGTGTTGTACCAAGGTGGATTTATTTTGGCCAGAGAGGGAGTGGCAGATTTAGTTGACGAAGTTGATAGGCCCTGAACGCTGCACTCAGGACCAGATATCTCCATTCTCACCATGCAGCCCCTGTCTTGTGGTATCGCACCTCGCTCTCCTGCCTCTTGGTTCTAAACATTATCTCAAGAACCATCACCTTTCTGTAACTGGCAGGAAACCGGTACAACCGCAACTACCCTGCTGATTCACCCTACCTTGTGCCCAGAGATTCTCCCTATTCCTCTCATCTCATACCTAGCTTCGTCTTACACCGAGACCTACGTGGCGAGTAAACGTCTACCATATTCTCGCCGATCATCCTCCCACGCGTTCGGTGTGCAGGATTTACCAGAAGGGCAGCCACGTCGATCGATCGATTCTATTCAAAATGGGGTCATCGCATCCTCGGAGCCCATGGAATCACTTACACAGGGGCCTAGACAATTTTCAAAGCTCTTTAGGCCACATGAAGAGAACTTATCCTGATACCACCTTCTCGGACAGGGCAGCGCAGCTCCCGTATCACGGCACACAGTCTTTCTGTCGGATGCTGACGAGCTCATCGTCTTGCTTGAGATACCTTGTTACCGAGACTGAGAGTTGTTAACTGATCGATCTGGGGTTGGCGCATGCCTCACGTATTCTTCGAGGAGATAAGTCCCGAAAGGGAAGGGTGGGGCCAGGATCTTTGCAGAGCTATCTCAGAGCAGTCAGAAAATGCCTTCGCGCTCCATTTGGCTCAACGCATGAAGTTCCAGATATGATTGATGGACGTGAACCGACTGCGTTATCCTTGATCATGCTTCTCAATGGAATATCGAATTTCATTTATTCGGTGCCTCAGCACACCCGCGGCGGGAGCAATGGCCCGATCAGCTCTGGGCGGCACTGTTCCAACCTCCGAGGTCTACCTTTGACAAGCTGGAAACGTAGGGGCTGAACCATCAATTTCAAGAAAAGAAGACTTATATTCACGATATTGTTCGTGCAGTATCATTGTTCAGCCCCCTCCACCCCTCGTGAGTCGCACAATGAGGTCGAAGTGGCGTGGGAACAGGGATCGGCCGCCCTCGAAAGATTACAAATATCATCAACAACCGGAACTTCTGCCAACAGACTGCTTCTAGAGTATATGATCAGGAATATTGGCTAGGACGACGATCGGAAGATCACAGGGCCTTTTTGGCCTACTATCCAAAATCATTGAAGTCGTGGGTACTGTTGTTGCTGTTTAGAGCTGATGGCCTGTATCTGGAGGACTTCAAGGAAAATAGAGAAGCTGTGGCACCTCTCCATAAACCTGAACTGGAAGAGACATCGAAGTCCACAGCCGCACAGATAGTGCTTTCTTGACAGACCTGAAGCGACAAACGCTCGCCTGAGATACATGTGCTCTAGCTGATGCCTGATGCCCCCTCGGCTGATGTAGCCTAAAAGCACGCAAGGGGCAGGGAAGAGAGGGCCTTTCTCCATTTCACAAAACCACTTTACGGACCGAACCCAAGTCTATAAGTACGTATTCCGCACACCCAGGCGAAGAGGATACTCACTCATCAGACAACATGGAGCGCCTACCTAACGAATTGCTTTTGAAAATCGGAAAGCACACTATGGACCGATGGCGCCCCGCGAAGACACTGTGCTCGCTGACCCTGTGCTCTCGACATTTGCATGCACTGTTCCAACCTTTATTACTTTATCACATTACTCCCAATTCGTCTATCCATGTCATTCATTTGATTATACGCCTCTGGAGGCACCCCGAGCTGGCTAGGCAGGTGCGTCATTTGGCGGCTTCATGGCTGGGCTGCGACGGTAGACCCTGTAAAGGACTAAGCGAGGACGAAACCCTGGGTGACGAAGTGGTCGAATTCGTCGACAATGCATTGGACGAAATCTTCGAGCCGGAGGAAGAAGACACGAGGACCAAATGGAGAGAGCATCTGCTGATCCCCTGCAAGGAGGCCTGGTTAGGGCTACTTCTCGTCCGCACCACCCATCTGAAAACCATCGAGTTCTCCCGCGGGTCCACGGGGCTGATGTCGGACATTCTGCGCAAGGCCGCACGGCGCCAGCGACCCTTCCAGCGTACCCCTCCCTTTCCCCATCTTCAAGCAGTCTTCGTCTCATTCCAAACAGCCGATACATGGGTTGATCCGGCATTTCTCCAGCCCTTCTTCTATTTCCCGGCGGTCCGAAAGATCAATGGCGGACCCATGGGCGGGTCAGACCGGGACGGCATCGAGACCTGGTCGCGGGACATCCGCCATTGTTCACGCTCGGTGCGCGAGTTCACTATCAGGCCGTCGTGGTGGTGCCACAGCATTCTCGACTGGCTCGCCGCGAGCCCGGCGCTCGAGCATGTCGCTCTTGTCTTCAGGCTGCACCCGGATGAGGGCCATCTGCCGGATAAGCGCAAGTTCACGCTCCGGAATTCCGACACGCGCTCCTCCCGTTCACCAGGACGCTCCGAACCCTTCACCTCCAAGTCGAAATCCCATTCGCGGAGGACTGGCGGTCGGTCACCAACGACACACGGCCGTTCGGGTGCCTCCGGGAGTTCGCCGTGCTCGAAGTCCTGCGCATACGTTGGGTGCACCTCCTGCAAGCTCCCCCCACTACCCGGGTTCTCCGCTTCCGCGCGAAAGAGACGCAGTCGCTTGTTGGGATCCTCCCCGCTTCGCTGCGGCGGCTGGAAGTTCTGGAGATCGAGGAGCATAATTGGATTGACGTGCTGTTACAGCTGTCGCGGTTGGTGCAGCACCAGGCCTCGTTCCCGCGATTGGAACGAGTGGGGGTTCACGTGAGGGACGTCGATCGAGATCTCCGGAGCTTGTTGCGGCAGGAATTTGCGTTCACGGGGATCTACTTGACGGTGGAGGTGCAAGAATCTAGATGGTAGGAATGGGTGGGTTATCATTCACGGGGAAAAGGAATAGTATAAGCTGGCAATGCATCGACGAACGCCCACGGCACTAATCCCCTTCACTCCCACGATCCGTTTCCTTAGGTCACTTGATGATTCTTAGACTTCAACTTGACAATACACTAGACTATTGTGTTTATTTTCGGAGCAAGCGGTTTGATCGGACTGTCATTTCTCCTTCCTGCTGACCTTGAGGGATCTACGTTTGTCTCTCAATTTGACTCTATTGTCTTACCCGTGGTTAGCTCACAGGCTCTGGCGTGGCCTGTATGCATAGACAACTAGTATACACTGAAGTCTTTGTACGTGATGATATACACAAGGCAGAAGCATGTCCGCCGACTTGGGCGATGTCGGTGACGCGGCCTCAACTGAGACAAGCAGTCGAAAATGAGATGAGAGTAGGCATTCGACATACCGACTGACACATATAGGCTAGGCTATAGAAGATTCTATAGATGAGCAGCCTATGCGAAGCGATTGGATTGCTCGAAGAGAGACTTGAGTGACACGTGCCGAACAGTATTGATACCATACAATGGGTAAGGTGGTGATCCATTCGACTCTCGTTAGGACTATTACCATAAATTACCACTAACGGGTAAGACCCGAGCGGCAGGACCCGCTGCTGCACGGCATGACAGGGGCCTTCTCCACATTGAGCGATACTGTATTATACACAGTACGGTACATGCCTGACGTACAGTATAGTAACTTACACTGCTCCCGAACTATATATGAGGGGACAGACACACTTGGCACTCCTCAATGACAGAACACGATCTGGAGCTTCTTGATGGTGAGCATGTGTAGTCGTTGGCTTGATCCTTCAGATACTGAATTGAACCGGTGTGCTACTGGAACTAAGATGGTAGCACCGCAAGGGGTACCGTCTCCGCAGGTGGCAAGCCCCGGACTGCACGCTGGATGAGGCGCAGCCCGCCGCTGTGCGATCTGTAATCTGTAACCAAATAGGAGGAGTTCATGCACTGGGATGGCGGGGCTCTGGCACGATCTGCAACGCCGGCGCAAATGACA